GAAGCCTGCCAGCTCCAGTCCTACTTCACTTTCATTATATAAAAAATGGTCATAGGTATACATCAGAAATTCACATTTTGTGTCATATGAGTTGGGAAGAATATGACCATTTTTGGTGACTTTAAAGTTCACAGATAATTTCTGAAGTCTGAAACACTGGAAAGTTTCAGTGTTCAAGGTCTGAACTGCGTGTGTGTAATTCTGCTAGTGTATTTATCAGAAAGCTCCTTTTATCTTGCTTAGGAAATTAGGCAAGACCTACGGGGCACAGCCACAGCGTAGCGATGGGGATTTTCTGCTATCACTTTTTGCTTCAGCTCATTGATACGTGCTCCCAGAGAACCTGTGTAAAGATAGGCAGCAAGTTCAAATGATTGCATATATAGTCGCTTATTTACTTAAAGTGCAGTGTACAAGAAAAAACTACAGAAAATGACTGAGATCGCAGATATATTCTGAAGCTGAAACATTATTGCCACTAGAGGTCAGTGTATCTTCATAATGTGGGATACAACGAGCCGGGTTGGCAAACATCTTAGTTAGATCAGTTATAGGCAGTTATTTATATGTTATCTATATTGATATGTTTTAAGCACTTTAATGATAATACCAGATTTGGTAATTAGGAACTTGTTTAACAAGAATTATTTTTAGGCACATATTTCCTGGAATTAACAAGTATGATGAAATTGTCATCATAAACCGGCTAGTTTCATTGTTCTAGCTGCCAAGTGTTGCAAGTCTTATTTATAATTATGCCTAATAAGACATAATGTCATTGCGTCGTTGATGATTTGTACTGTCTAATATTGTGAGGACTTAAGACAACCACTGTGCCTTCAATTTATATATTTACACTATATTTCAGTTAATCAGTGGGCTGTTTGTTGCAACAAAATTACACAATGCACAATTTACACAGTAGGCTATAAAAAACACTGAACTGTAGATGTAATGTTATGCTTTATACAGTATATATACAGTATCTTACCAATGAGAACTACTAATCGGGGTCTCTCATTGGGCTTCTGCTGGTAGCGTGTCACTTCTTCATAGGTCAGGAATTCGGTGTCATTCTGGTCAGAAACATTGGCCTCTCCTGAAGAACCACGACGGTCCTTCCGACTTAAACGGAAACTTCTCCTTAAACCGGCTGAGACAGAGTCAAGAAAGCAGGTCACGAATCTACACTGAACAAAATTATAAACGCAACACTTTTGTTTTTGCCCCCATTTTTCATGAGCTGAACTCAAAGATCTGGGCAAAAACAAAAGTGTTGCGTTTATAATTTTGTTCAGTATAAATTCATTATTTATTACATGACAAGAAAAAAACAATCAAGATTAATAGTTTATGTATTTTCACTACCATTCAAAGGTTTTGAATCAGTAATGTTTTTAAAAGAAGAGTCTTAATCTTACCTAAGGCTGCATTTATTTGAACAAAAATACAGTACATTTTCAATTTTCTGTATAATTTAAAATGTAATTTATTCCTACCATGATAAAGCCAGAAAGCATTCTAATATACCAATTTGCTGCTCAAGAAACAGCTGCACTTCTTAATGTTTTTTGTGGAAACAATTATACATTTTTCCCAATTCATTTTTTTTAATTAATTGAAACTTTTTTTTTATGGAAATCTTTTTTAACATTATGAATGTCTTTACTGTCACTTTCAATTGAATGCATCCTTGCTGAATAAAGGTATTTTCTTCTACAAAAATAAATACAAATCTTGTTGACCCCAAACATTTGAATGGTAGTGTGTATTTATTGTATTTACAGAAGTTATTATAGTTAAATTTTATTTATTCTCCATTCAGTGGAGAATCCAACCTCATACAGTGCATTTAATACCGTTATGATAGAATTATGAATTAAGAAAGACAAAAAGTGCAACCATAATTTAAAATTAAGTGTTGAAATTCTGTAGTCAACTTAAACTCTTAAGCACTTTTATTTGTATAGAAATAATAAAGAACACGCCATAACCTAACCAGTAACCCAGAAATTTCCACAGTAGTCATCATTTGAAGTGGATCAAAAAAGTTCATCAAAGTTGTCCTAAGACAAAAACACATTTTGTTTTAGGTTTTAGGACAACTTTGATGAAAGGTTTTGATCCACTTCAAATGTTGACTAGTGTAGTTTCAACTCCAGTGCAACTCCTGAAGCATAACTCTAATCTTCACCTCTATCAGTATTGTTATAAGAAATGATGTGTGTTATTTTTCAGGACGTGGAGGTTAATGGTGTGGGAAGCTGTGTGGGAAGATCGAGGACTGTACCTGAGTAAAACTCCCAGGAAAACACCTGGCCACAGGAGGGAGCCACTGCATTACACTTCGAAGACACTACAATGCGCATTAGACCACCTCACACTTTTGCACAAGCCACACTCTGCCCTCAACAACTGACCCAAAATCAGCTTTGCAGTTCATACAGTCACTCCTGAGGTCATTTATAACTGACCATGAGTTAAATCCTGCATCAGCATTACCCCAAAAGTCGGCCTGCATGGAATCTGCACACTTTCTCACAATTCCTGTAACGTTTGTGAGGGGAAGTCTGCAGCATGCAATGAATTTAAATATTTATAAGTATAGTAAAATGTTTTAAATGGAAAAGAAAGAGGAAAACACTTACTGGCAGTTGAAAGCAACAACAAATTATCCAAAATATTTAATAAGTTGCAAACGGGATATGCAAAAATGTTTTAAATGACAGATATTCGAGTTCTGCCTAAATTTACACGTTTTACAGATTCCATGCTGTCAGTAAGTCTGACTTCTAGACTTTCCCACTGTCATCTTTGGCACGTCCCAGTATTATTATCAATATCAGATGATTAAAATGATTCTCGGTCAGTCGCTAAGGCTGAGAGTTGCCATCACGCACATTAGCTATCACACACTTGACTCAGTGAGTGAGTGCACAGCCAATCGTGCAGGGTGGAATGTGCAGAGTGTCCAATAGAAGGGCAGCAGCCTGACAGTGGCTCTGGGGTGAGTGGGGTTTTTAGGGAGGGAGGACTAAATAAAGCAGAAGGCAGCAAAGGAATACATTCACACAGAGACTGGGCAAGGGAAAGTGCTACCTGCCAGAGTGGAGGAAGATTATTCTCAAGGTAAATTATTCTCACCTAGTTTCAACGTGAACTGAGATTTGGTCACATTTGAACAAGAGGAAAAGTCCCACTACGACTCACACTGATTGCATATTCGCAGATGCCGTCCCCGTTGTTGCATTATCATCATCATCATTATTATTATATACAGTAATATTGTGAAATATTATTATCATTTAAAATAATTGTTTTCTATTTGAAAATGTTTTATAATGTAACTTATTCCTGTAATAGTAAAGCTGAATTTTCAGTATCATTACTCCAGCCTTCAGTGTCACATGACCCTTCAGAAATCATTCTAACATGATGATTTGCTGCTTAAGAAACACTTTTTATTATAATTATCAATGCTGAATAAAGTTTTGCTGCTTAATATTTACATTATTTTCAAGACTCTTTGATGAATAGAAAGTTAAAAAAGCATTTATTTAAAATAAAAATCTTTTGAAAAATATGCTGCCAATTTAATGCATCCTTTTTTAATAAAAGCATACATTTATTTATTTTTTTTAAATGCTGACACCAACCTTTTGAATAGAAGTGCATATCCCCAGTTACATATTTGTCTATTAATTATATATACTTCTAATAAAATTTGGATTTCCATGGGCAGAAATGCACAATAGCAAGAGGATAGGGCGCAATCTATAATAAGCCGAATGTAGATTAAAAGGAGGCATAATTGCAGTAATTTAAATAATCACTGCACATGCTATTTCAGCGTAATTATCACTTGGGAAAAAATGAATAAATTACAGGGGGTTAGTGAACAAAAAAGTTTCTGTGCTGAAAATTTGTTTCAGTGTTTCAAATATCATAGCAATACTTATTCACGCCACCCACAGAAAGTCAAAGTATCTAAACTTGGACAAAACTCATCTTCACAGATCATAAGAAAGAGACTTCTAGGGTCAGAGAGAAAGTGAAGATATGCAGATGAAAAGCTGTCAGCTTGTTGGTCGTCCCTACTGACACAGGTTTCTACAGCTGCTACACATTGTGAAAATAGCGTGATAGCCTGTGAATGAAATATCTAACACTATATTAACTGAATATCACTTCCTTTTCTTCACTCTTTTAACAGCTCCTCAAATTAGCACCCATTAACTAATGAGACTTGAAACATGCCAGACATGTTGCTAACAGTTTTAACTCAGAGGCACGACAAATTCTGTCTCTCTTCTTATTATCAGTGTATGTGAGTGGTGCAGAGCATGATTTTGCCTAGAGCAATGAATGTTTTATTTGCACATTGATGTTCTCATTCCATCCAAATCCACTCCAATATCTCTCCATCATGGACATAACGCACAGCTATATTTGAGCATCAATTTTCATCAAGTGCAAAACAGTAATTATGGGCTATTAGCAAAAATAAAATAAATAAATAAAATCTATACTGATACAATAATATATCAATTATATTATTTTAAATTAATTTTGTAATAATGTATTTTATTATCAGAAAAGCACTCATCAAAATGACAAAATGTTTTGTGAAAACTAATGACAAAAATGGGACAAGTGAAAAACGTGTGTGAAATTGATCATTTGTTGGTAATTCTGCCCTTCTTCGCCATTGTGTACTCTACATACATCTATTTTCCTCACAACGATACAAAAACTGCACTTATTTCACTTACAGTACATAAACTACCAGTCAAAAAATTTGGGAAAATTACGATTTTTTAAATGCTTTTGAAAGATATGCTCACCAAGGCTGCATTTATTTGATTAAAAATACAGTAAAACAAGTACTATTGTGAAATATTATTACAATCTAAAATAACTATGTTCTAATTGAAAATATTTTAAATTGTAATTTATTCCTGTGATGTCAAAGCTGAATTTTCAGCATCGTTTCTGCAGTTTTCAGTCACACAATCCTTTTTTTTTTCTTCCAGGATTTTTGATGAATAAAAAGTTCAAAAGAACAGCATTTATTTGAAATAGAAATCTTTTGTAACATTATAAATGTCACTTTTGATTCATTTAATGCACTCTTGCTGAATAAAAGGAGCTGGAGCGGAGTGATTACTGAGGGGAAATTGCTGTCGTTTTGCTCCACTCACATACTCTTTCTATTACTATACTAAATCAAAGGCATAAACAAAAATAGCAACCAGGTTCCACTTTCTCTTCCAATGGCATCAATGCACCACTGCAAATAGATTTTCTCACAATTCTGACTGACCTAAAATTCCCTTCATGCTGCCAAATAACCCCCCAATCCGGCCTCCCCTCATCAAGGGCTCGGCCATAGCTCTTGGCACAGAGGCAGGCAGCAATAGAAGCTCACTCAGGCAGAAGGTTAGAGTTAGCAGGCGCTGCGTACAGGAGTGGGCAATGGCATGCAGGTTCTCACCTATGTACTGTCCATTGAAATAGCCCTCACAGTCACAGTCTTCTGTAGGGAGGCAAGCAGGGAGAGAGGGAGTGAGCAGAGGAGACCAGGAGAGAGGAAGGAGGGCTGCAGAACTACAGTTACACAAGCAGGTTCAACAGTTAGGCGGGCAGGCGGATGGGCGGCAGGTATTTCAGCAGTCTGTGGCGGCCGTGGCCAACCAAGGGGTTTGTTATTTGCCAGGAAGAAAATGATGGTGTGATAGTGTATAAATGTTAGGATTCACTTGTGTGGTTGAGCGGGACTCAAAGGAAACAATGAGTGTTTCTAACCTACAGTAAATGGAAAAGAGGCCCTTAGATTGAAAAAGATCATGAGAAAAGGTGATAAAGATTAAAAACAAACTAATCGAATATAACATCACCTTGAGAGCTATAGACATTATATGGAAGAAAACGAAAAATATTTGTAGGTGGTGTACTCAGTAATTTTGTGTTTCTCTTGTACTGGCCAAAATGCCCGTTGTACTGGAATTACACTGCCTCCTAATGTAGTAGTCAATTACTGATGCCATTGTAAAATATGTTGATCTCAACATGACACCCATGAGGTGGTTATCTACAGTTGAAACAGTTTGGGGCCAGTAAGATTTTATTTATTTGTATTGTTATTTACTTTTATTCAGTAAGGATGCATTAAATCGATTAAAAGTGACAATGAAGACATTTATAAAGTTACAAAAGATATAAATGCTGTTTAATGCTGTTAAACGTTCTATTTAGCAGTCCTAAAAAATAATGTAGCTATCAAGGTTTTCACAAAAATATTGAACTGTGCAGCCTTTTTTTCACATTGATAATAATACAAAATGTTTCTTGAGCAGCAAATCAGCATATTAGAATGATTTCTAAAGGATCACGTGACACTGAAGACTGCTTTAGTGAGTGACACTAATTAATAACTGCTGAAAATTCAGCTTTGCGTCACGGGAATAAATTAAATTATACATTTTAAAATATATTCAAATAGAAAACAGTTATTTTAAATGGTAATAATATTTCACATTGTATTTATTTGTTTTTTTTTACTGTATTTTTGATCAAATAAGTGCACCCTTGGTGAGCATAATAGACTTCAAAAACATAAAGAAATCTTACCGACTCCAAAAGTTTGAACAGTAGCGAATAGATCTTTTTTTAGGCTACTGATGTTACTAGAGTCTTCATCTCATGTCAGTGTACATGATTATAAACCATTTCTTTTAGTATAAAGCATAACTATTACTGAGTGCACCTTTAAGAAGAGAATAGAGAAAGGATAGAAGGAGAAAGAGTTGAAGTGATGTTTGAGATCTCAGAGCATTAGTTGACAGTGTAGTAAGGAAGGACTTGATAAGAGAAAAGATGGGAAATGGAATAATGTCAGAAAAGAAATATGTTTTTTTTATCTGTTTATTAATTTGAACCTCTACTGTAATATGTTATTGCTACCGCAGATCTGTTTTGCTAGTTCTTGAAAAAGAAGAAGAATGTACAGCACTTTCCACTAGGGTACAAAATAGGGCCTGACCTGAGTTACAGTATACACAAGGGATTTATGAATGTTTGGATATGTTTTAAACAAAATGAAATTAAATCTTACTTTTTGTAGTCGGGGAGAAATAATGAAGTGATTCAAGAAGGTCAACACCTCTAAGGTGAGAAAGGGGCCAAAATCAACATTTGTATTAAGCTAGTGACTTGTCATGCTGGGTTAATTTTATATGAGATGATACATTTTGTGAGATTTGATCCTATAATGCTAAAAAAAAAAAAGTAATGGACCATCAAAGTGTACCTTATTCCTGGAAAGTGTCATACATTGAAGCCTTTCTCTCATTGAAAGTGTTTGTTTGTGTTTGTTTGTGTTTGTGTGTGTGTGTGTGTGT